AATGTTGCACACCATTCCTCTTCAATTTGTCATTCCCAGCATAGTAAATCATGTGACTGTTGGATTCAAAGTGGCCATTACCAGTCCATTTCAGCTCACTAATGCCTAGGATAAGGAGCTCTGGTAGCGTAGTGGTTACGAATCGGGCTGCGAACCTTAAGGTCAGCGGTTCGAAACTACCAGCTGCTCTGCGGGAGAAAGATGAGGCTTTCTACTCCCGTAAAGATTTACACCCTTGGAAACCCTGTACAGGGTCGCTATGGGTCAGAACCGACTCAACTCAAAGGTGCTTAACAACAACAATGCCTAGGATATCAATCTTTTTGCATTCCGTTTTATTTTTAACAACTTCATATTTTCCTAGAATCATACATTGTACGATCCCATTTTGTATTGTGCGCCATCAACAAATGAAGGTACCAAAAGCTTTTCTCTATTCACATCATCATTGTCCACTGTACATTGAATAGGCAACGCTTCCCCAATTGCATTTTCTTTGTCTTACAACCTGAGGGGCTCATCTTCCAGCACTATATCTGACAATGTTCTGTTGCTATTTATAATGTTTTCATCTTCCGGCACTATATCTGACGATGTTCCACTGCTATTCATGAGGTTTTCCATGGCTAAACGTTCAGAAGTAGTTCATCTCTCCTTCTTCTTAGTCTACACAGATGCTACACTAGAATCTGTCTACCATGGATGCTGCGGTTCCTGTTTAAAGTACTGGCATAGCTTCCAGCATACAGCAACATGCTAGGCACCACAGTATGACAACTGGTAGAGAGGAGTGGTAGTTAGCCAGCTTCTTACTGTTGTTGTTGTTAGGTGCTATTGAATTGTTACCGACTTATAGTGACACTGTGCACAACAGAACGAAGCACTGCCCAGTTCTGCACCAACCTCACAATAGTTGCTACATCTGAGGAGCCCATTGCTGCTGCCTATGCTAGTCCATCTCATTGAAGGTCTTCCTCTTTTTCTCTGACCCTCCATTTTACCAAACATGATGTACTTCTCCAGGGACTGGTGCCTCCTGATAATATGTCCAAAGCATGAGAGACGAAGTCTGGCTATTACTTCTTTCAACGCAGATTGGTTTGTTCTTTTGGCAGCCCATGGCACTTTCAGTATTCTCCTTCAACACCATAACTCAAATGCATCAATTCTTCAGTGGTCTTCTTTATTCACTGTCCAATTTTCACATGCATATAAAGTTATTGAAAATACCATGGCTTGGGTCAGGCATACCTTAAGCCTCAAGCTGACATCTTTAAACACTTTATAGAGGCCTTATACAGCAGATTTGCCCAATGCAATATGTTGAGTTCTTGACTGCTGCTTTTATGAGTGTTGATAGTTGATCTGAGCAAAGTGAAGTCTTTGACGTCAATCTTTTCTCCATTTATATGGATTTTTTTATGTATTGGCCCAGTGGTGAAGATTTTTTTTCTTTACATTGAGATGTAATCCATACTGAAGGCTATGGTCTTTGATCTTCATCAGTAAGTATTTTTAAGTCCTCTTAGCTTTTAGCAAGCAACGTTATGTCGTCTGCATATCACAGATTGTTAATGAATCGTCCTCCAATCCTGATGCCACGTTTTTCTTCATATAATCCAGTTTCTCGGGTTATTTATTGCTCAGCATAGAGAGTGAATAAGTATGGTGAAAGAATACAATCCTATTGCACACCTTTCCTAAGTTCAACCATTCGGTGTTCCCTTGTTCTATTTGAACAGCTGCCTCTTGGTCCATGTACAGGTTCCTCATGGGTACAGTTAAGTGTTCCAGAATCGTCATTCTCTTCAATGTTGTCCATAGCTTGTCAGATCCTTTGTGTAGTCTATAAAGCACAAGTAAACATCTTTCTGGTATTCTCTGCTTTCAGCCAAGATCTGAAGTCAATAATGATAATTCCTCATTCCATGTCCTTTTCTGAATCCAGCTTGCACCTCTGGAAGTTCTCTGTCAATGTATGGTTGAGGCCATTTTTTTAAATCATCTTTAGCAAAATTTTACTTGCATGTAATATTAATGACATTGTCCAATGATTTCCACATTCCATTGGGTCACCTGTTTTTGGAATGGGCACAAATATAGATTGCTTAAAATCAATTGGCCAGGTATTTGCCTTCCAGTTTCTGGGCATTGATGAGTGAGTGCTTCCAGTGCTGCATGAGTGTGTTGAAAGATTTCAATTTATATTCCATCATTTCCCAGAGCCTTACTCTTCGCCAGTGCCTTCAGTGCACCTTGGACTTCTTCCTTCAGGATCATTAGCTCTTGATCATATGCTACCTCTTGAAATGGTTGAACATTGACCATATCTTTTTGGTACAGTGGCTCTTTGTATTCCTTCCATGTTCTTTTGATGCTTTCTACATCATTCAATGTTTTGCCCATTTGTTGTCAAGTGCCATCTGACCCATAGCGACCCTGTGTAGGGTTTCCAAGGAGCAGCAGTTGGTGTGCTTGAACCACCAACCTTGCAGTTCAAACGACTTTGCTGTCTGACACATTATCCCACAGCACCACACCAGGACTACCATAGAATCCTTCAATATTGCAAGTCCAGGCTTGAATTTTTTCTTCAGTTCCCTCAGCTTGAGAAATGCTGAGTGTGTTCTTCCCTTTTGGTTTTCTAACTCCAGGCCTTTACACATTTTATTAGCTAATTTAGTGGGAGAGAATTGGTATCTCAGTGTGGTTTTGATTTGCATCTCTCTGATGGTGACTAATGATCATCATTTCATGTATTTGGTGGATAATTGAATGCTCTCTTTGGTGACAAGTCTATTCAAGTCTCTTGCCTATTTTATGATGGAAAAACATTCCAAAGATCAGAAAACCTTGAAATACTCTTATAAAAAATCTTAGCAGTAGTGCTATGGGTGGGGGTGGGCTGGTGGGTAGGGGATGGGGATTAGGAACAGAACTTATAGACAAATTTGTGGTTAGGAAGGATTTTCACACAGCATTGTATCGAAGAACAATTAAAATAATTACTGATTTATCTTAAGCATAGCTCCCAGTCTGACAATTGGAATCTCTTTCAGGAAATAAAACTGAGTGAATTCTCTAAGAGTACAATGCCCAAGGCAAAGTGGTCTCACTAGTTTTATCTAGACCTTTGTTTGACTTAAAAGTGACTTTCAGTGGTGGTGGTGAGTGCCATGGAGTCAGTTCCTACTCACAGTAACCCTGTCTAGGTTTTCAGTGGGGCAGCTGATAGGTTTGAACCACCAACCTTGCAGTTCAAAGCAACCTGATGGTCCAGTGCATTATCCTGCAGTGCTTTTAATGGCTTTTAGGAACCAGTTTTCTCATGGCTTGAGGCTCAGAAGGACACCTCAAGGTCTTGTGTGGATTACCTCAAAATCCATGAAAGCCAGAAATCTGGATTCCAGAAGAAATGAAACAATTTCTCAATACATTGCGAAGAATGTAACCCATGTCAGTGAGCAACTTTTATAGAAAGCATTGAATGAGAACCTAAACTGCTATGTATACCTTCATAAAAACTACAATAAAATAATAATTTTAGAAATAGCAATAATCTGGTAAAATAAATTTCAAATGTAGAAAAATTACAACCTAAACACTGCCTTTATAATACTCCTTGTATGAAGTTTTTTCCTTGACACACACTGGTATTTTCAATGGAGATGTGGACACCTGGTGTGGTGCTGTAGGATCAGCATAGGAATGCTAACTACAAGATCAGTGGTTCAAACCCACCAGCCGCTCCTCAGAAACCCTGTACAGGATCACTGTGAGTCAGAACTGTCTCAACACCACTTAACAACAGCCACATACGTTCATCAGTGCACCACTACATGGAACTCTTATGTCCAGCCAGTTTTGAAATTTTATTCTTATCACAGTCATCAAATTTTTGTCTCATGTGGGCTTGTTAATGAAAGTGGAACCGAACCTTAGCTATTCACTCTGTTTGGAATCATCTGGATAACGAGAAGCTGCCAAGGAACAACAACCCTCTCTCACCACCAGGCTTTTCTCCTCATCACAGCCCCACCCTCCAGCTCTGTGACTACTACTCATGTTGTTGTTAAGTGCTGTCTCAGGTTGATTCGACTCCTTCTTGTTGTTGAGTGCTGTCGAGTCGGTTCCAACCCATAGCGACCCTGTATAGGATTTCCAAGGAGCAGCTGGAGAGCTTGGACCTCCAACCTTGCGATTCAAACCGACTTTGCAGTCCAGCACATTGACCCACAGTGTCACACCTGGACTACTAAAGACCTTGTATAGGGTTGCCAAGGCTGTAAATCTTTGCGGGAAGAGCTAGCCTCATCTTTTTCCTGGGGGAGGGACTAGTGGGCCTGAACCACCGACCTTGTCATTTGCAGTCCAGTGCTTATCCTACAGAGCCGGTGGGTTCACACTTCCAACCTGTCAATTAGCTGCTGAGCACTTCATACTCACCATGGGGACTCCTGACCTAGGCCTTGGACCTAGACTCTTCAGTGAGGAAATGGTGCCCTTAAAGGGAATTTGTGGCCTTTTGCCTCTGGCCTGCAGTGACATTCTCCCTCTTTCAGAAAGGAGGAGGAAGAAGAGGTCAATCCAGAGGGTTCACCGGCCCCTGGAATGATGGGTCATATCCAGGTGATTGAATATTGCAGGAGAAATGTGACCTGCCTCAAGGGAGTATGGAACTCTCTGGACCATGCTGTGACCTAGCAACCATTCCTAGTCTTTAATATAGGCACAGTCACAGGCATATGCTTAGCCATGGAGCCTTCTAGCTCACTTGACATCAACAGAGCATGCAACATCTGTTGATACTTTGCAGTAGAGTGTAACAGAGAAACTAGTGAAATCTGAAGTGCTTCCATGGCATGTTGCTAATCCAGGGGTGGGATCAGCGAAAGATGACTGTCATAGTTTCTTCCCAGCTGGCTTCCCTACCCAATGTGTGACTGTTTATTTCACCCCATTAAGATTTCTTAGTAATAAGCTTTCCTTTTTTTTTTTAGGAAGACGTGATTTTCAAGCTAATTATGAAAACCTTTATCATTGGAATCAGTGGGTAAGTGTGCTATAGTGGTGGAAGACACAGATGTTTTCATATGAATGTGACTAGGGAAGGAGAAGCAATGGGAAGGATTTCTGAGTCCTGGGGAAGAACAAGCCACTGGAATACCAAACAGTGGTGTTCTGGCTATAGAGATACCAACAGAGATGGGCGCGTTTCCTGCAAACACAGAAATGGGAGAATGGCCAGTTGTAAAAATGTTTCATCATTTATATTCTGGAGCCAACACCAGAGGCAATCAATGCCTGACCAGATACCATTTTGGTGTGGGGTGACTTAGCATGGCAGATGTGTCCAAGGTGTCCATATATTGAGAGCTACCTACATGGCAGACAAGTCCAATATGTTCATATACAGAGAACTAACTACTTGGCAGATCCATGTACACCCATCTGGGTGTTCTTCATCATGGTGGAAGAGAAGATCCATCAGTTGTTTCCTGTGAGGTCCAGCTGTGCACACAGGGACTAATATGTGTGGCCTATTAAAATATTTGAGACTATTTAAAAGTAACATTGGGAAGACCAATGTGTTATTGTATTATTCCTTAACTACATTCTTTTGTCAATTTGAAGTAAATTAAGAGTTGCATATCAGAACTCTGCCTTGCCTTGCCTCCCATCGGATCAGAACCACATCTGTTCCGTTTTCCTTTGTTGTACGTGTCTTGTTCATCCTTTCCTTTCCATACTTATTGTCATCCAAATTCAAGCACTCATCCTCAAATTCCAGTAAGACTCCTCCTAATCGTCCGTCCTCACCTTTACCAGATTCATCTTAATACTAAGTATTTTCATGTATTTCTCTCACCTGCTGGACCCATGTCCTACTTAACTGCACGTTGTTAGATTAAATGAAAAATCTTGTGAATCAAGTTCTTTCTACTTTCTCCATGTAAGTTATTTAGGTTTTAGTTGAATTACATCCAACAAGCAATTTTGCTGAGTAAACATGAGTTTCTTTTATAGATTACAAACGGGTTGATTTCATGTGAGATCTCCACCTGGGAGTAAGGTTCTTGAAAATGAATGTGCTGTAGACATTCGCTAGGCTCCCGGTGTGGTGTTATAGAATCAGCACTGGACTTCTAACCACATGGTCCAGCAGTTCAGACCCACCAGCTGCTCCTTGGAAAGCCTATACAGGGTCTCTGTAAGTCAGAACTTTACAAAAACAAGCCATTTGCTATGCTGAAGTCTTGACCTCTTCTCAGAGTAATGGTTTTGGATGCACAGAATAGAAGACAGGAATATAAAGAAAACCAGTTCTATTAGAACTTAATTATAAAAAGCACTTTAAAAAATAAACTATGACATTGTTATATATGAAGGAGCTTCAAGAGGTTTGTAGAAAAGTGAAATTAAAAAGTAGAATTTTTCCATGATCTTTTTCGAGCCCTTCATATATACTTAACTTGATAATGTATTAAATAACAATATCCAGTGATGAAGTTCATGATTCAGCACTACAGGATAAACACTGAACTGCTAACCTCAAGATCAGTGGTTCAAATCCACCAGCTGCTCCTTGGAAACGCTATACAGGGTCGCTATGAGCCAGATATGACTCAGTGGTACTTAACAACAACATCCAGTGATGGGTATAGAAAAGATCATAAATTTGAAATCACAGTGAGCATCGATGATATTTGCAACATGATATGAAAATATTTTATTTCTATTGGTGATAGGCACAAGTACTATTGTTTTTATAGCAAACCATAGAAGTGGTGCTGTGCTGATAAGAAGAGAGGGCATATGCATAAGAACACCCACACTTGCAGATAATACCCACTTATCCTGGTTTCAGTGACTGGATGATCAGAGCTCAACCAGAAGTAAAAAGAAGAGGGAAAAAAAAAAAGGTATTCTCATACAATTTGATGAAGTTTAGAGCTCTGGTAGCGTAGTGGTTACGAATCGGGCTGCGAACCTTAAGGTCAGCGGTTCGAAACTACCAGCCGCTCCGCGGGAGAAAGATGAGGCTTTCTACTCCCGTAAAGATTTACACCCTCGGAAACCCTGTACAGGGTCGCTATGGGTCGGACCCGACTCGATGGCACTTAACAACAACAACAACAACAAACCTATCTATACCTATGGAAGCAGTAGCTCAAAAGAGGGAACAAGTCCTTACAGCAAGAATCATTCCCACCCCCTCCACACACAGAGTAGACAGGGATGGGCAACTTGGACATTGGCTACCCAAAATTGGGGGATGGGGGGCTACAAAGGCAAGAAAGAAGTGACTGGCTTACAAGCTTTCAAGAGGAAACCTAGATCCAGAGAGCCTGGAGGAAGGTAGAATCTCCAGTGAGTAGTATTCAATCTGACTAGGCGGGGCTGATGCAATGAAATGCAGATGGGTCTCTTGAGATACAATAGTGAATAATTGTTATCAGGACTGATTGTGAAGGTTGGAAATGTAAAGGTAGACGTTTTATAGCAAGGAGGGGAGTGATTAACTTTTCAGTCTAGGAGCGGAGGTCCCTAGGACCATCAAGGGAGAAGAGCAGAGAGCAGGACCCTACCCAGAGAAGAAGTGATGCCTGAAATGGAGGCAGAGATGATGACGTGGAGAGATGGAGCAGCTGGAGACTTTAGATCCAGAGAGGGAGAGTGACTGTGTGCTGAAGACCTGGGGGGTACAGGGGAAGGATTGCATGGAGGGGATTGTAACCATGGTAATGAGACGATATACAATAGAATGAATGTAAAACTAATGTGTTCTCCCATGTAAACTATCACATAATTCTCAAAACATTTAAAAAAAAAAAAAAAATGAGGACACTTGTGAAAATACCATTATCACACCAATTTGAAAAAAAAAAAGTGGTGCTGTGGGTTAGTGCGCTGGACTGCAAAGTCCGTTTGAATTGTACATTGGTGGTTCAAGTTCATCCGACTTCTCAGAAACCTTATAGAAGATCACTGTGAGTCGGAACCAACTCAATGGCACTTAACAACAACAAGCTTGTTACTTATAATGGAAAAAAAATGCTAATTTCCCCTTCTAATTTAGTGACAATATGTGACGCTGTAGAGTAAGCATTGAATTGAAACTGTTTGAACCGTCAAGTTAGCAGTTCAAATTCATCAGCGGCTCCTTGGAAACCCTATACAGGGTCACTATGAGTTGGAACCAACTCAGTGGCACTTAACAACAAGTACCAAAGATACATTTATTTTCCATTGAAGTTCACAAAGATCCTGAATTCGGTCCACAAACCCCATGGAGGTGCATGCGCTCCCGGTTATGAAACTACAGGCAATGAGTGAATAGTGCAGTCACTCCCAGGTGCTATGTGTGGGCTGGATGCTGGGAACTAGACAGAGAGAGGAGTTTATTAAGGTCTCCATTCTCCAGCCAGAAGGGATAAATAACTGATGTGATGTGATAAGCTACCATCGACCTCCCGCACACTGCCGCTGCCCCGAGTCAGTGCTGAATCACAGTGACCCTGTGGGACACAGCATCACTGCTCCTTAGGATTTCCAAGACTGAAGCAGCGGCCTCATCCTTTCCCCGTCCACCCCCAAAGTAGAGAGAAGCGTCACAGAAGAGATGTGAATTCACGGTAGGTGGTGTGTAATAAGCCACTCCCTCATTGTGTTCATTAAAACAAAACCATCATTGTTGGTGTCAAGTCAGTGCCGACTCATAGCGACCCTGTGTTGGGTTTCTAAGGAGCACCTATTGGGTTTGAACCGCCAATCTTATGGTTAGCATACCAGTGTTGATCCTACAATGCCATACCGTGTGTAATTTTATATACTTACACTAAAATATAGTGTGCTAAAGACGCTCTGGTAGTGCAGTGGCTACAAATCAGCCTGCTAACCTCAAGGTCAGCAATTCGCAACTACCAGCCGTTCCAAGGGGAAAAGGTGAGGCTTTTTACTCCCGTGAATATTGATAGCCTCGGAAACCCTATGCAGGATCGCTATGAGTCGGAACTGACTCCAGGGCACACTACTACCTACTGGTGGTGGTGATGTGCTGTGGAGTCTGTTCTGACTCATAGCGGCCCTGCACAGGGTTTCCGAGGCTGTAAATCTTCACGGGAGCAGAATGCCTCATCGTTCTCCCACGGAACTGCTGGTTGTTTCGAACTGCTGACCCTGAGGATTGCAGCCCGATTCGTAACCACTACGCTACCAGACCCTACTACTACTACTACTAAAATGTTGCTCGTATTATTTGAGTTGAAGTAAACTGCGAATTAATATTTTGCCACAGATAAATGCCCTTTTGCTTTCAACACTGTATCTGTATTTCTAAGACATTAATCTGCCCAGTTCACTTGCCTAGTAGTTAGCTTTCTCGTCTAATCTTCCCAATTTCTTTCTTCTCATTAACCTTTGAATCTCCGTCTGCGCATGGTTTTGCCAACAGAAAAAGAAATAACTGCTGAAGAAGTAATTTTCTGTAATAATTGTATCTAATATTTTTTTTTTTTTTTTTTTGCTTTTTATTCATGTTTTTCAATGCATTTTCCTTCTTGTTTGTTTTCTCTCTCTCCCTGATTCAGTGTGACAAATGGTGGGAAGACAACGTTGGCTAAGAATTTGCAGAAACACCTCCCAAATTGCAGAGTCATATCTCAGGATGATTTTTTCAAGGTATATGTAAAATTCCTAAGATTATTTGTTTAACACAAAAACATTCTAATAGCAAAGAAAATTGTATTATCCCAAAATTCTCACTTGCATGATGTACCTTACAGGGAAGGCTCTGTGCAGTAGTGTAACTTATCCACGAGGGGGCACCACTTACTGCTGCAGGTCTTTGATTTTATTTATCATCATCCAAAGCACTGGGCAAGGAGCTCTGGCAGTATAGTGGTTACGAATCGGGCTGCGAACCGCAAGCAAGGTCAGCAGTTCGAAACTACCAGCTGTTCTGTGGGAGAAAGATGAGGCATTCTGCTCCTGTAATGATTTACAGCCTCAGAAACCCTGTACAGGGTTGCTATGAGTCAGAACCGACTCCATGGCACATAACAACAACAACAACAACAACAAAGCACTGGACAAGGAGTTCTGGTAGCATAGTGGTTATGAGTCAGGCTGCTAATCTCATGGTCAGTAGTTCCAAACTACCAGCTGTTCCACAGGAGAAAGATGAGTCTTTCTGCTCCTGATTTACAGCCTTGGAAACCCTATACAGGGTCACTATGAGTCGGAACCGACTCCATAACACACCACCACAACCAAAGCACTGGACCACAAGGTCGGCTTGAACCTCAAGGTTGGCGGTTCAAACTCACCAGCTGCTCCTTGGAAACCCTATACAGGGTTGCTATGAGTCAGAACCAACTTGAGGGTACTTAATAACAACAAAGCATTCATACCAAGCATTTATTTGATGACTTAGGTCCTCTGCATTCTGTAATTGTATTATTTCTGTTCAGTGTATTGATTGGCACCTTGTTGTTTTTTTCCAGCCAGAGTCTGAGATAGAGATAGATAAAAATGGATTTTTGCAGTATGATGGTAAGTTGATAATCTTGTCAATCATTATACCCTAATTTCATCTTCTTTTTCAAACCTACAAAGCTTCACTACTGTGAAGGTGGTAAGATGGAATTGAAAGATAATGGAATTTTTCCCCCAACTTTTTGAAGCTCCCTCCTACATATGAGTCCCTGATAACGTAGGGATTATGAACTGGGCTGGTAACCACAAGATGAGTAGTTCGAATCTACCAGTCACTCTGCAGAAGAACTATGAGACTTTATGGTCCTGTAAAGATTTACATCCTTGGAAGCCCTGTACAGACATGGATTGCAGGAACCGACTCCACAGCACACTACCACCACAACCTCCTATATGGTTGTCTTTTAAAACCTGCATTTGTGAGTTTCTGATTTATATTTAACAACTTAAATAAATATTTCTCCACTACTATATTTAAAACTAGAAGTGTAAGTGATTGATAGGTTTTTCTTCTGAAGTTGGAGTATTACTGATTTGTTAGCTCTCTACTCACCCCTGCCCTACGGTTACGTGACTCACTGTAGTCCGCCCCACTAAAGAATCTTGCCCCTAGCAAACTCCCTGCTCTTAGCATCCTCTCTGTTTTCCTTCTTTGTCACCAAAGTAATAGCAACAGTTTGATTTTTTCCTTTTCACTTTTCAAACGAGTTTATGGATAATTTGTAGATAAATTCACCTCACTTTCCCACCCCAAGGTAACACGGTTTTGAAACCAAGTGGTTAAAGCCCAGAATGTTTATTTTCCTGTAGAGAATATAAGCACTAATTAACAAGTTGATCTTAAAGTAATTGAGTCCTGGTGTGGCGCTGTAGGATAAGTGCTAGACTGCTAACGGCAAGGTCAGTGGTTCAAACCCACCAGCTGCTTCTTGGAAATCCTACACAGGAGTCTCTGTGAGTAAGAACCAACTCAACAGTACTTAACAAAAACAAATAACTGAGCATTCTCTTAAAGACTTTTAAACCATGTTCTTTATTTTTAACTTTGATTGCCTTGGAAATAGAAAAAGAACAATGTATAATCTTTCAGATGTGTAATGGGTTTAAAAGAAAAAAACAAATCTATTGCCATCCAGTAAATTCCAACTCATAGTGACGACGAAGAACAGAGTGGAACTGCTCCATAGGGTTTCCAAGATTGTAATTGTTCTAGAAGCAGACTTCCACATCTTTCTCCCTCACAGAAGCTGGTGGATTTGAACCACTGACCTTTTTTTTTTTTTAATGTTTTATTGTGAATTATATGGTAGTTTACATGGGGGAACTTTAATTTTACATTCATTCCATCGTATATCATCTCATTGCCATGGTTCCAATCCCCTCCATGCATCATCAACCACCCAAAGGGTATGTCCCAGAAACCCACCCCCTACACTTCCCCCTCCTCCCCCCATTTTTCGGTCCACAGTCCCTTTCCCTCTCTGGGTCCAAAGTCCCCAGTCGCTTCATCACTTTGCGTCATCATCTCTGCCTCCATCTTAGGCATCTCTGTTTCTCTGGGTAGGATCCCGCTCTCGGCTCTTCTCCGTTGATGGTCTCAGAGGTCTCCGCTCCTATCCTGGAGATTTAATCACTCCCTTCCTTGTTATAAAAATTCTACCTTTGCATTTCCTACCCGCATAGTCCGTCCTGATAAGCATTATTCACTACATTATCACGAGTTACCCATCTGTATCTCCTTTCATCAGCTCCGCCCAGACAGATTGAATAGTACCTACTGGAGATTCTGCCTTCCGCCATGCTCCCTAGCACTAGGTTCCCTCTTGAAAGCTTGTAAGCCAGTCACTTCTTGCCTTTGTAGTTCCCCCCTCCCAATTTGAGTATCCAATGTCCAAGCTGCCCTTCTCCGTCCTCTCTGTGAGTTGGGGGCTGTGTGAATGTTTGTTGCTGTGGGGATTTGTTCCCTCTTTTGAGTCGCTACTCCATAGGTATAGGTCAAGTTCATCAGACTGTATTAGCTCACTCTTTTTTTTTTTTTTTCCCCCATCTTCTTTCCTCTCCTGGTTGAGCTCCGATCATCCAGTCATCTGGTCCAGGTCACGTGGGTATCATCTGCAAGTGTGGGCGCTCCTGTGTATATGTCCTCTCTTCCCGTCAGCCGGTAGCTCCACTCTCCTCTCGAGTCCTCCGTGGCCACGCCACTGACTCTGGGCCCAAGAGTCTCCAGGTCTCTTCACACTGCTTGCCAACCGAGTCCCCAGCTGGGTCCACAGAAGTCCACTGAACATTGTAGGGCTTAGCTTGCCACTTCATTGCTGCTTTTATCCCACTTCCCCCCATCAGTGATGTGTGTGGTCACCAATCAGAGCATGCATTTCCATTGAGTCTTAGTCTTGGAAGGGGGTCTGCATTCAGAGGACCTGGCCACTTGCCTTGATGTTTTCTAGGGAAGCGATTTGTTTTTTCTTGTGGTAACAGCCCATCTGCCTCCATTTTTCCTGCAGTTCTTTCTTTCAAGAGGTATCCTTTATTCTTGTCTCTGGAGATCTGGATGTGGTTCCGGTTTCTACCTATAGTTTTATGTATTGCAAAGGTTCTGCACGAAGCCTCATTCACTGGGTACGCTGTAGCCCCATTTTAGGTATTCCAATCAGTTTTAGGCAGAAGACGGACTTACAAGCCTTCTAGTGTGGTGTTTCTGACTATTCCTTTCTCTCCCTCTCCTGTGACCACTGACCTTTTGGTTAGCAACCAAGTGCTTAACCACTAACTCTCACTGACTCACTGTCTGTTCTCGTTTCTTGTGTCTTGAGCTTTTGCCCAAATTTTGTTTTTGTTTTTGCTTTTCTTTACCTCCTCCAAAGGTTAATAGGAAAGGTTACAAAGCAAAAGTTAAGGAAAAAATTGTTTTCAAACGTTATTCCTCACTTACGATGTTCTTATAATCTGGTAAGGAAAATACTAACATCCCAATTTTAAAAATGGTCAAAGAATGTTAGTAAACTGTTTATTTCATATGCAAAGGTTATTTGATTAATAAATGAGCAATAGAAAGTCAGCCTCCAAATTATATCTGTATCTTCCCCACCGAACAAGTAAACAAAAGGTTTTTAAAACAGTGATAATTATCAAATGATGGTACCTACCCATTGCCAACCATATATAATAGTGTTTCCAAGGCTTCAAATCTTTATAAGAACAGAAATCATTAAATTGGTGGCACAGGCTCAATACAACAAAAACTCACATACTTTGTTGTTTGATATAAAGTGCCATTGAGTTGGCTCCGACTCATAGTGACCCAGAATAGGGTTTCTAAGAAGTGATGGGTGGATTTGAACTACTGACCAGTACTTTAGATGGGAGTATAAATTGGTACCGTCTTCTACAAAGGATCTTGAACATATGTCCCAAAGATACTAGACATGCTTATGCGAGCCCGTCTTAGTTACCGAATGAATGTTGTAATAACAGAAAATACCACGCGTGGGTGGCTTTAACAAAAAGAAGTTTATTTTCTCACTGTTTAGGAGGCTAGAAGTCTGAATTTAGGGCAAGGCTTTCTCTCTCTGTGGACTCTGGGGGAAGTTCCTTGTCTCTTTACAGTTTTTGTTACACAGTTGCTTGGAGATCTCATGTGGCATGGCATCTGTCTTCCTGCGTCTTGGAGGAAAATTAAACTCCACATCAGCCCAGGGCTTATTCCTATGAAGTGGAGACCAGACAAGCGTCACTGTCAGTGCCACAGAGGCAGTTCCGATTCATAGAGACCCCATGCACAACAGAATGAAGCATACCCAGTTCTGCGCCATCCCCAGCTCTTAGCTAACCCATGAGGAGCCCTGGTGGCTCTGTGGGTTGGACACAGTCAGCAGTTCAAACTCACCAGCTGCTCCAAGGTCAACAGATGAGGCTGTATGCTCCCATAAAGACTGACAATCTCAGAAACTGTATGGATCACTTATCAACAGGAAGGCCATGGGTTTTGATTTTTTGTTTGAGTAACCAAAAGAATTCCAAATGGACTGCAGGCTCTGACACCAATCTCAAAAGAAAACCTGAACAGATGTTTTTTTCCCCATATCTGGAATGCTCCACGGATCTATGATGGGAATTACCAGAGCTGCAGGCACAGAAAATACACCAGACCAGTAAAGCAGTTACTTCCCTGCAATGGTATGAGGACAACTGCTCTCTCATTTGCAACCTCTCACAACACTTCTGTTGTATTTCTACAAATGAATGCTCCAGGATGCTGGTTAGCAGCCTGTGACAGAAGGAGCTTCAGATAGAATGGAGTCCTGGTGTGGCGCTGTGGGATAAGCACTAGACTGCTAACCGAAAGGTCTGTGGTTCAAACCTACCAGCTGTTTTTGGAAACCCTGTTCAGGGTAGCCGTGAGTCAGAACTGACTGGTTTTCACTTAACAACAACAACAACAAGAGAACTGTCCATAGGTAGAAACATTCCTTGAAAACAAAGAAATACTGAGATTTCGTTGGTTACAGTTTCTAGTAAGTTCTAGAACACTATGTTATACCATGTAAACAGAGCTTCAACGTGGAGTCCTGGTGTGGCGCTATGGGATAAGCACTTGACTTCAGTGTCGGTTTGAACAACAGGGTCAGTGATTGAAATACACCAGTGGCTCCTCGCTACCCTGCAACATTCTCCACCAATTCTGATGCCAGCCATCCCTCCCAAGGTACTCGCTTTCTCTCTGTGTTTGGTAATTCATTGCAGTAGCCACACAGAATTCACAGACAAACTCACAATTATGAGATTTATTCGGGAAGTGAACAGGTTATAATTCAGGATCAGAAATGCTTTGATATAGTTCTTCAGTCAGGACAGCCTCTTCTCAGTTGTGCCCACAGGCATGCCTCTCTCTGGTCCTCTGCCTCAGCCACACAGCCCCTTGGCCTCTGCCGTTCTTAGGTAATGTTACAAAGCTCATTTAGTGCTGCCAGTAAATGCTCAAAGGGCTTGCTATTCCACAAAAAGTTTCAGCCTGAAGGAGCTTAGCTCTAGCTCTGTGAGTCAGCAAATCTAGTTCCTCCAATTGCCTGGAGGCAGTCTACCCCACAAGCAATCCTTCTGCCTCAAGGCACTCAGCTTTCCTTGCTCCATGGGCTGGAACTCCACTGCTTTGTGTCGGTCGTACTCTGGTTCTTGGTTCTGCTGCTACTGCTCCTCTGCCACTCCTCTGATGTCACAGCTTCCTGTCTCCTGGATCAAGGAGGATCAGCCACTGAGATCTTAGGGTACAAAGGATGCACTCAGATCCTGGCTCTTTCCTATGGTAGTGAGATCCTCCATTCCTGCTTCTGAGATGGCTAATTTTATACCCAGGCAGGATGGCAAAATTAACTGACCAATCCCCACTTAAAGTTCCAAGTTTTCATGGTCACAATTTTCCCTGTGAAGATTCACAACGGAATCATTTAATCCTGTTAGCATCTTCCCCTCCTTCTCTTACCCAGACCCATCAGAAACATCTTCATGGCTCTAGCTAATCATTTGGAAGGAGTTATATAAAAACTATAGCTAAGTGATATAAAATGAGGGGAGATGCACAAGAACACCCATACTTGCACATAGTACCCACTTGACCTGACTTTGATGGCTGGATGATCAGACCTCTACTAGAAGAAGAAAGAAGAGGGAGGGGAAAAAAAAGAGTAACCCACTACAGTCTGATGAACTTTACCTATATGTATGGATGTAGTAGCTCATGAAGATCAAAGAGCACAGCCTTCGATATGGATTGCATCTCAATGTCAAGAAAACAAAAATCCTCACCACTGGACCAATAAACAACATTCTTATCAATGGAGAAAAGATTGAAGTTGTCAAGGACTTCATTCTTCTTGGATCAAATATCAACAGTCGCGGAAACAGCAGTCAAGAGATCAGACAACGTATTACATTGGGCAAATCTGCTGCACAGGAACTTTTTAAAGTATTGAAGAGCAGAGATGTCAGCTTGAGGACTAAGGTGCGCCTGACCCAAGCCATGGTATTATCAATAGCATCATATGGATGCGAAAGCTGGACAGTGAATAAGGAAAATCGTAGAAGAATTGATGCCTTTGAGTTGTGGTGTTAGAGGAGAATACTGAAAGTGCCATGGACTGCCAAAAGAACCAATAGATCTGTTTTGGAAGAAGTACAGCCAGAGTGCTCCTTGGAGGCCAAGATGGCTAAGCTTCGTCTCTCATACTTTGGACATATTGTCCGGAGGGAACAGTCGCTGGAGAAGGATGTCATGCTGAGTAAGGTGGAGGGTCAGAGAAAAAGAGGAAGACCACTAACGAGATGGATCGGCCAGGTGGCATCATTAATGGATTCAAGTGTGACAGCAGTAGTGAGGTTGGCCCAAGAACGGACATTGTTTTGTTCTGCTGTGCATGGGGTTGCTATGAGTCGGTTCCGACTCCATGGCACCTGACAATGACAACAAGTAGCTCAAAAAAGGAGCTCTGGTAGCGTAGTGGTTACGAATCGGGCTGTGAACCGCAAGGTTAGCAGTTCGAAACTACCAGCTGTTCCGTGGGAGAAAGATGAGGCTTTCTGCTCCCGTAAAGATTTACAGCCTTGGAAACTCTGTACAGGGTCGCTATGACTCAGAACCGACTCCACGGCACATAACAACAACAACAGTAGCTCAAAAAAGGGAACATATCTTTACAGCAAGGATCACTTCCACCTCCTCAGCACATAGGGTTGACAGGGATGGGCTACTTAGACATTGGTTACCTAAAATGGAGGAGTGGGGGCTATAAAGGCAAGAAGTGACTGACTTACAAGCTTTCAAGAGGGAGGCCTAGTTCCAGACTGGGCAGGGGTAGATAGAATCTCCACTGAATGATCTCTAATCTGTTTGGACCAGGCTGGCGAAAGGAGATGGGGATAAGACTCTTGTGGTACAATAGTGAATAATTGCCATCAGCAATGACTGTGAGGGTCGCAAATGTAGAGGTAGATGTTGTTTAACAAAAGGAGGAGAGTGATTGATTTTGCAGCCTAGGAGTGGAGGACCATCAAGTGAGAAGAGCAGAGAGTGTGACCCTACCTAGAGAGGCAGTGAAGCTAGGCATGGAGACAGGGATGATGACGTGGACAGATGGAGTGGCTGGGGACATGGGACTCAGGGAGAGAGAGGGGCTGTGGGGTGTATCCTTTGGTTATTTGATGAAGCATGGAGGGAATTGTAATCATTGCAATGAAACAAAATGTGATAGGATGAATGTAAAACTGATGTTCTCCCATGTAAACTATCACATAATTCATAATAAAACATAAAATAAAACTATAGCTAAGGAGCTCTGGAGTCCTGATGTGACACTGTGGGTTAATGCACTGGACTTCAAGGTCGCTTTAAACTGCAAGGTCAGTGGTTCAAGCTCACTGGCTACTCCTTGGAAACCCTATACAGGGTTACTATGAATCATAACTGATTCAAAGTGCTTAGTAACAACAGCAAGGAGTTCTGGTAGCCTAGTAGTTAGGAGCCGGGCTGCTAGCCTCAAGGTCAGCAGTTCAAAACTACCAGCTGTCCCATGGGAGAAAGATGAGGCTTTCTGCTCCCATAGAGATTTACAGCCTCAGAAACCCTATGCAGGGTCACTGAGAGTCAGAACCAACTCCATGGCCCATCACCATCACTACCACAGGATTTACAACGTATGTTTTTGGAGTCCTGGTGTGGTGCTGTGGGTTAATGCGCTGGACTGCAAGGTCAATTTGAGTCGCAGAGTTGGCAGTTCAAGCTCTCCAGCCACTCCTTAGAAACCCTGCACAGGGTTGCTATGAGTCAGAACTGACTCAGGGCACTCAAAACAACAACATAAAAACTAGGTAGAAAACCATATAAAGTAAATCACTACACCACCCTTACTTACTCTGCTCTTTTATTTTTCAAAAGAGATTAACTTTTATCTCTAAATCAAATGACTCAAGACACACCCTACACTAATACCCTCTCATAGCATAACCAAGAAAACCTACTTCCAAATGCAATAACAAGGAGAGGTATGGTAGGATTCACAAGACATATTTTGGGGAAACAGTTGAACCCATAACACACACAGCTTCTGTATGTTACAGGGCCATGGCTTGTGGTCCCAAGAAGCATCTGAAACATGTAGCAGCTTTAAAGCATTGGTTCTTGGATGAACTGATGGGTTTGTTTGCTCCAGATCTATCCACCCGTCCCCAAAGCTGAGACAGTGTCTCTCCCTCATTCCTTTCTTAAGGGATAGGCTTAGTATACCCTCAAGGGGAGATGAAGTAAAGATCTTGATGAAGATTGAAGGCAAGGGCTGAACTGGTATAACCTTCCCTGCTGGTTTTATGGTGTATCAGCATCAAAACGATAAGAGCAGAGAGAATTTCTCTGCCTGACCTATGATACCAAGTTTCACTTTGCTGTTTATAATACCATGTTATGAGTTGGAATCAAGTCGATGGCAGTGAGTTTTTGCTTGGCTTTCTTCCCCTCCCTCACCCCACTATATTCTTACCCCAGAGCCTGTGAGTGTTACCTTATGTGACAAAGAGGTTTCACATATGTGACTAAATTGAGGCTCTTGAGGTGAGGATACTCTCCTGTGTTATTTGGTGGACTCAAGGTAGTTGCCCCCCAAACCAAACCCGACCCACTGCTATCGACTCAATTCCAACTTAGAACATTCTATAGGACAAAGTTGAAGTATCCCATTGAGTTTTCCATGGCAGAAGCAGACTGCCACAGCTTTCTCCTGAGTTAGGTTCGAAACACCAACTTCACCCACTGGTGCACCAGAGCTCCGTACTGTAATTATAATGCAATACAATGATAGGAAAGACACAGCAAGAGTCCGAATCAAAGAAGGCAGGGTGATGATGGAACCAGAGCTTGGAGTGATTTGCTTTGATGATGGAAGAAGGACCACAAGCCACCACTTGTTGTTGTTGTTATGTGCCGTGGAGTCGGTTCCAACTCATAATGACCCTGTACAGGGTTTCTCAGACTGTAAATCTTTACGGGAGCAGAAAGCCTCATCTTTCTCCCGCAGAGCAGCTGGTAGTTTTGAACTGCTGACCTTGAGGTTCACAGCCCGATTTTTAACCACTACGCTACCAGAGCTCCTTACAAGCCACCACTAGAAGCTGAAAAGGTCAAGGAAAGAGATTCTTCCCTCAGAACTTCCATAGGGAACCAGCTCTCATGACACCATGACTTTAGTCCAATGAAACTCCTTGCAGACTTCGTGCCTCCAAGAACGATAAGATAATAATAAATTCATGTTGCTTTAAACCATGTAAAAAATGTAATGATTATCAAAGTTGGTGGTTGTTGTGAAGTGCCATCGAGTCAATTATCGAAGCTAGTAGGACTTGAGAATTCATTGTACTCTTCTCTCTACTTTTGTATATGTTTTTAATTTTTCATAATAAAGAATTTTTTATTATATCTATTTATCAATAATAGGGTTTAGATTTCATATATAAAATATTTGCTATGAGAATTTTTTTTTGAAAGCTAAGTAAAATGATGTTACTCATTAACATGTACAGATCCTTGTGTGTACTTAATGTGAAAAGCTGCAACACAACTTTTGATGCTGAATTCATATGTTTTTGTGTTTGCTTGAAGTACTTGAAGCGCTTAACATGGAAAAAATGATGTCGACCATTTCCTGCTGGATGGAAAGCCCAGGACCCTCTCTGCTCTCAACAGACTGGGAAACTGCTGAGGAAACCCCCATCTTAATCATCGAAGGTTTCCTTCTCTTCAATTACAGGTAAGCATCACCATTCTAACCTGGACTCTGACTGATGGGGCAGGGACTTTGTGAACCAAATATGCTGTTGTTTTAGGCCTCTTGACGCTATTTGGAATAGAAGCTATTTTCTGACCATTCCTTATGAAGAATGTAAAAGGAGGAGGAGGTAAGTTTTGAAATCACTTTGGTGTGAATTGCGGTTCAAAAAGACAAAATTCAGGGAAATTGAGGAGAGCAACTTTATTTAGCAATTGGTGGGTGTCATTTTTCAAACAAGGGAAGCCTTGGCTCTCTTATACAAGGATTGAATGGTCACCCACGTGGAGAAAAGTATGCTTGTCTAAGAAAATACACTTTTATAAGCTTTTTGTCTCAGTTTTCTCCCCCTCCAAAGGAACCATTCTCATGTTGATTACGATTTGTAATTGAACTGTATGCTGCTGGAGACACACAAAACACCAATTAGCTAAGAGTTTAATCCAGCATATTAACGATATTTATTTACATTGACATTGTTGTTAAGTACTATCAAGTCTTAGCCACCCTGTATAGCAGAGGTGGAGAATCTTTTTCCTGCCAAAATTTATAACATCATTTGCAGCCATACAAAATGATCAACTTAAAAACTAGCCTGCTATATTTAGTCAAATTTCATTAACTCATTCCTATTGTGATGGCTGGAACTGTGGTTGCTTTGGCAGCGCCAGGCCAAATGATTTCAAGGGCCTTATACACCACGCGGGCCAGACATTCCTCACCCCTGCTGTATAGGGTTCCAAAAAGCGTCTGGTGGGTGCTTAGCAGTCCAGTGCTTATCCTGTAGCACCAAAGTAAGTTAATATCTGTTTCTTAATTCCTCTATGCATCACTAGAGGGGGAAGAAAGATAATCATGGAACCATATTCAGTGAATTACAGATTAATCTTTGAGCTGAAAAACTGAAGCCATTTTCATCCCTTGATATGTTTTTGCGTATCTTAATGATGTTTAGATTTTGTCTCTGAGTGATTTTCCCATTATCCTAACCATTATTATTTTACTTTATCAATTGTGTGTTTCTGCCTACCTAAAGTTTCGTACATGTTTTGGTAGTACAAGGGTCTATGAGCCACCAGACCCCCCGGGATACTTTGACGGCCACGTGTGGCCCATGTATCTAAAGCACAGAAGGGAAATCGAGGACATTACATGGGGAATTGGTAAGCACCTCTCTAACCTCCACGTAAGGCCTTTTACTCATTTTTCTTCTTAGTACAGAAAAGAAAATTGTCATTTGCCTCAAGATACAGAAAAGAAGGGCATTTCAGAGGCAAACGTGATAAAGAACCACTGTGGACCAGAGCACTTCTGGGCTTCCTTCTTCCCAGACTGGCTCTTCTTGTATCTGTTTCTCTCCATATGACCTTTGTAAGAAACTTGTCAACTTCTGGAAGATCACTCGTTCAACAGATGTGAAAAAATGGAATACCTTCTCTGTGAGAATAGAGAGGGGAACAAAGCAGACACAGTTCTGCTGTCATGCGGCTGGTTGCCCAAGCTTGTCCTAACCGCCAAGTGCTCTTCTGACATTCATAGGGTGCTGTAGGACTGAGTTCCCGGGGGACTACCTCAGCTCCAGCACGTCCTCAGACAAGGCTTCCATGAGAAAGCCATATTTAAGCCAAACTCTAACGGTGTGTTTGTTTCCTAGACCTGCTATAACTATTGCCTCAAGCTGGGTTGACTTAAAAACAACAGAAATTTACTCTGATAGTAGTAAGCACTCAGCTGTTATACCTAAAAGGCTGGTTGTTCAAATCTACACCGTGGCTTCACAAAAGCCCTGGTGATCTGTGTGTATAAAGAGGACAGCCAGGAAGCCCCTAGGGAGCAGTTGGGCATGGTAACACATGGGCTCAGTGTAAGTTGCAATTGATTTGACAGCACCTAACACCCACATACTCTCTGAAGGAAGGCTCTAAGGAAGGACCCTTCCTTGCCTCTTCCAGCTTCTGGCAGCCCGATGCACTCCTTGGTTTATGTTAGCATACCTTCATTCTCTGCCTCCAGCATCACAAGGCTGTCTTCCTTCTGTGTCTGTATCTCTTGGTCTCTTTCTTAGGAGGATGCCAGGCATGTGGGATCCAGGTTCACTCTACTCCAGCATGACCTCACTTCTCAATCCTGAAATCATTCAAGTATTATTTCAGGAAACAGAAAGATTCATGGAGTTGCAGATTTCTAAGTGGGGAGAATGCAAGTCTCTTTTTGCCACAATGAGGTTGAGACGCTTAAGAGACATTAAATAGCAAATTGGAGATTGGCATTGGATCTATGGAACTGATCCAAGAACAGATGGCTGGAATCATAGTTCAAGGAGGCTAACAAGAGATTTGGTTAGGTGAGGAGGAGGCATCAAAAGAAAGGGGAGTTGGCATCCAGGGTGGTGGTGCCTGAGCCAAGCAGAAAGCACAGTGCTCCCCGCTATTTGCTGGCCATTACAATGTCTTTTCTATCCCAGTTCTCTCCTCCCACCCCCATAGTCACTGTGAAGCTCTGTCCACACCATCTCCTGCCTAGAGTTTCCATTACAGAGATGTCCTCACTGTACCTCTCTCCATCACCATCTAAAATGCAAGTTTCCCTACTAACATGTTTTCAAAAGGTGTCCGGCTCTTTGGGATAAAATGCAAACTGCCAGACATCAAAGCCTCTGAAGATAAAGGCATAGCCTTGCTCTGGAATCTCATCTCTCATAGCTGTTTCCTCCACCACACATTTCTAGCCACTCCAAACTGTACCACTTCTTTGTACCCAATAAGATGCTCTCATACCTCCCTCCCCCTGCTGTTTTCTGACTCAAAGGTCCTTTGCTTTCTTTCACCTAAATGTTGTTAAGTGCTGTCCAATTGGTTCCAATTCATAGCGACCCTTTTTGAGGTATCCAAGGGGCAGTTGGTGAGTTTGAACGGCTGACCTTGCAGTTCAAACAGATCTTGCGGGCCATTGCATTATCCTATTGTGCCACATCAAAACTCCATAGCTTCTACATTTTCTCCAAAACTTTGTTAGAAATACATATTTCTGGGCCTGGTGAATTCTGAATCGCTATTATATGGCGCAGAGCTCAGACCCCTGCATAGGTTAAGGAGCTTCTTCACAAATGATCCTGTAACATAAGTAGATTGGAGAACCACCCCTGAAGGACTCCTGTGGAGGTGTCTCTGTGTGCACCTTCAATGCCCACAGGCCACTTAACTGTTCCTTATTAGTCTGTTACTTTTCTTCTTATAACAGGTAGCTTGGATTTCTTCATAGCAAACCAGAATTTTTGGCCTGTTGTGCCTGGCCATGATCTGTTTCTCTTCTTCACTGTCATTACTCTTTTGTTTGTAATTTATGGCCCAAGGTTCCTCAATTAAACCTATTGGCATTTGCAAGAGAGACATCAGTTCACCACCTGTTTTAGTCAGAGTTCTTCAGAGAAACAACCAATACAATGGATGTATGTGTGTGTTTGTGTGTGGTGGTGGTAGTGGTTGGGTGCCACTGAGTCAGTGGTGTACCATTGAGTCAGTTCTGACTCATAGTGACCCTGTGTAGGGCTGCTGAGACTGTAAATCTTTATGGAAATAGCATCATCTCTCTCCCACACAGTGACTGGCAGATTTGAAGTGCTGACCTTACAGTTAGCAGCCCAGCTCACAATCCACTACACTATCAGGGCTCCTTATGTATATGTGTATATACATATACATGAACTACTGGTGTGGTGCTGTAGAAGCAGCACTGGACTGTGAACCACAAAATCAGTGATTCAGAACTATCAGGTTCAAATCCATGAAAATCCTGCACAAGGTCACTATGAGTTGGAATCAACTTGACAGCATTTAACAACAATATATACATATGTATACATGCATGAATGT